TGGAAACTACTTGCTTCTTTTTCTGTGTGTGTGAGTGTGTGTGTGTGTGTGTGTGTGTGTGTGTGTGTGTGTGTGTGTGAAGGCCAGAGGACAACCTCAGCTGTTGTACCACAGGCACCATCTGCCTTGGTTTTTGAGACCAAGTCTCTCATTGGTCTGGAACTTACCTCGTTAGTTATATTGGATGGCTAGTGAGCTCCAGGGGATCCACCCGCCTCTGCCTCTCTAGAGATGGGATTACAAGCATGCAGTAGCATGTCTGGATTTTTGGGGAAATGTACACTTTTAGGATTGAACTCATGTCCTCTTGATTGCATAGTGAGCGTTTCACTGTCTGAGCCTTCTCTCCAGCCCCTGCTCTCTTTAATAAAATCAGTCTCCTCTGTTTGGAGTGGGTCTCTCTGTAGCCATCTCTACTTGGGCAGTGAGGTGCTCGGTGGGAGCTGTTTTCCTTTCTGTTTCTGCAATAATATAAAGTCATCTGAGTTTCCCAAGACCCAGTCAACCAACTGACATCCAAATAAGCCTCAACTCTCATTGGATCCCATTTATTTCTGGGTTCTTCCAAAGGAGTCTGTCACTGTGCTTATGACCAGGTCTCTACTTGTCACTCGTCCAGGTTTCTATTTGGATGGTTATCATTGTTTTTCTGGTACTAGTAGGAGAACATTGGGCCTTGAGAACACAAAGGAATCACTCTATTACAAATTGCATCTTCCGTCTGAGATGCGTGCCTTGTGGATGGTAGACAAGTGCATTGCCACAGAGCTACACCCTCAGTCTTAGATGGCTACAATTTTCGAGTGGTTTGGTGTCCAGTGACCAGTGTGGCTAACACTCAAATCTTATAAAAAGCCTTCAAGTAAGGGCTTAAAATATTTTTTTAAAGATTGATTTATTTTGCTTTATGTGTCTGGGTGTTTTGCCTGCATTTATGTACATGCACCATGTGTGTGCGCAGTGTCCATGGAGGTCAGAAGAGGGCATAGGATTCTGTAACTGGCACTGTAGATGGTGGTATTTCACCATGTAGGTGCTGGGAATCAAACCTGAGTCTTCTGCGAGGACAAGTCTTATTCGTTATTGAGCTATCTCTCCAGCCCCGTGAGAAATTTTCCTAAAATTCCAACTTTGACAGGCTCCAGGATTAGTTGCTCTGGGTCTCCCCAGCTGGATCCCTCCTGGCTAACGTTGCCCTATACCCTCTCTTCAACAAAAACTGACGTCCACTCAATGGGGCTGGCTATATTACATCCCAAAGTTGTGAACTCTTCAAGAATGTGAATTCAAAGTTGTGAATTCTTTAAGAGAAAATGTGAGCGGGCTAACTGAAGGAATGAGTTACCAAATATAAAGTTACCTATTAATTCATATCCCCAGGATTGTGGATTGTATATATTGACCAGCCTATTTAATTTCTATTTATTATTACTGTTATCATTTTTATTCATGTATGATGTGAGCATGTAGGCCATGGTGTGCATGGCATGTGGAGGTCAACTTCCGGAAATTCTAGGGATAGAGGTTAGGTGATCAGGCTCTCATGGGAAGCTCTTTTACCTGAGAAGCCACCTCACTTGCCCTGATCAACCTACTTAAAAATGGAAATAAGGCTGGCAAGAATGCTCAGTGGGTAAAGGTGCTTGCCTGTAGCACCAGTTTGGTGACTTGAGTTTTATCCTCCATTAGAGTGGAAGGTGATAACCAGCTTCATAAAGCTGCCCCTGACCTCCATATGCATGCCATGGCATATATGTTCTTCCTCCACAGCACTAAACAAATAAACATTTCAAAAGATAATACGTATTTAAAAAGAAAAGTAGAAATGGCCTTCAAACTGGCTGTCCATACCTGCCTCCTTTCTGCTTCTCTCCAAGGCTCATCACTACTGACATATTTCTTATATTTGCCTATCTCTCTCACTAGGAAATAGATCCATGAAGATAAGAACTTTTTAACACTGTGTCATCAGAAGACAGTTATAACAGAGCCCCTGATATTCTGTGGTCTAGATAACTGTTGAATCAGAGAAAGAGCATCTCAGACATAAGTGAGACAAATGATGTGCTTTTATCTTGGTTGAGAAGTGCAGCCACTGACTTATGGGTACCAGTGGTGGGAAATGCAGCATTTCAAACCTGGGCAGGTCTTCAGGGCTCATTTAGTGTCACTTGTCATTTTCAGAACAAGTCACTTTGGAAATGTAAAACCAGTGGCAGACCCAGAACTAAAATTCTTTATCTGGGAGTCTTCTCAACTCATTTCCCGAGTACTTCCTATGACCAGATCTAGGGATATCTTTCCTCATTCAGCTTTCTGCTGAAGGTCTTAGAACCCCACCACTGGGCTGCTGCTGTTCTCCACCCCTGCTGTGGGCTGCTTCCTGATTGGCTGGCTACAGGGGCTTTAGAGGGTCCCTGTTGTTTGAGGGGAAAGGTTTGTGGTGAGGAAGGGAGTTTGCTAGCGGGGCTTTTGAGACAGTCTGGAGTCTGGCTCTTTAATGGCTTCCCCTCAGCATTTGTTTCTAAAGCCAGAGCATCAAAGGCAAGCACCGTCTGAAATTCCCCAGCTCTTCTTGTAGTTGGGAAAGCCTGGTGCACACCCCCAAGACACCATTTGTTGCCTTACTGGGTTCAGATAAGCAGGAAGTGGCTTCTGGGAAGATAAACGAGCAAATCTGCAGAGGGTGTGCTCAGGGTTTGCATTTTTTTTTTTTTTTTTTGCTTATTGATTAAATGTAGCTTTATTATTAAGTTCCAAACAATGACATGGATTACTACATGTAAATTTAGAAGCACTTCCATTTTTAAAAAAGTTTGATTAGCATATGTTAATAGTACATAGTAATGGTTTTCATTACGATCAATGGATATCAATAGAGATTATTCCCGCTTTTGTTTTGAAACAGGGTCTTACGTATCCCAGGCCGACCTTGAACTTCAAATTTTTCTGCCTCTACATTTCAAATGCTGGGATTACAGGTGTGTGACACCATGAATGATTTATGTATTGCTGAGGATGGAACCCGGGGCTTCTGCAAGCTAAGCAGGCACTTTAGCCACACCCCTAAGCCTTGATTGAGATTTTTCTAGGACTAAATTTAACTTTGAAAGTTAATGACTGCTACCCAGGAAGACTGAAAGATAACCAGGCAATTAAACTCAAAGTGTTCACCATCTGATTTTTCCATCTTCTCTATGGTATTCGCCTAGCAATTAAACGATCAATAGTTATCCTGTAAGTGGTGAGTGAACCCATGAAATCTATGACCTGGAAAATCAGCCATTACATGAGTGGACGTGTTAAATGATCTGGAAATGCTCGGAGCCATCAAATGCCTCCTCATAGGCAGGTAGGGCTGCTTCTTCCCTTTGACACATCTGTGGAGGTCCCACTCTGGGATCACTGAGTAACTCTTCAGGCTGAGACTTGGCCCTACAGGCACGACATTCCACATGGGGTCTGGAGACATCTGCAGCAGCAACTTCTTCCAGGCTGTGGGCCACTAAGACCTGCTCAGTAAAAATTCTGTAATTGGGGGCTGAGGGAGGTAACTCATTTGGTAAAGCACTTGCTGTCCAAGAATGGGAACCGTGTTTGAAATTTCATCAGTACCCAAACATAAAGCTAGGTGTGATGGTATATGCTTAGAATCCCAGCACTGGGGAGACTGACAGACAGATGGGTTACTGGGGACCCACTGCCAGACACATAATATACTTAGGGAATCCCAGGTTCCCAGTGAGAGATTCTGTCTTAAGAAACTAGGTGGCATTGGCAAATTTTAACCGAAATCTGTCTAGATGCAACTTCTGCACAGATCTCTGACTACTAGATACATCAATATATAAAAGTCAGGAATTGCTTCAATAAAGGAACATAAAGATTTAATCTAAAAAATTAAAGGAACAAGAAGATTTAATTAAAAAATAAAGGAATATGAAGATTTAATGAAAAAAAAAAAAAACAACTCAAGGTAGGTAGCTCTTGAGAAATGAAACCTCAGGCTGACCTTTAGCCTCCACATGCAAGCCTACAAATGCATGTACACACATGTGCCCACATAACTCCTACAAGCAGCCACATGAACATGTACATACACCTGCCCGTGTATGCCTGCACACAGGTGTAGATACATACAATACCATACTTTATTTCCAGGGTGTGTGATTAAATGTGGGCAAGTGTGTCGGAGTGGTCACTTGAGTTGGCTGCTCAGGGCAAAGATGGATGTCCATCTTTAAGACCTCCTTGCAAAGATAAGTTTCAGCAAAGACAAATATTTGTGCCTTGGGCCTTGGGAAACTGGGGGATTCCTGCTCTGCTAACGTCAGTGTGGGCTGATTTTTGCCCGGGAGAGGGCAACTCTTGCTTATCCTTACATGCTTTCCAAATTCATAGTTTGGAACTGTGAGATGTCACAGTAGGTATCCACATGTGTGCTATGGCGTGCTCATGACTCTATCCCCTTCCATACAAACACAGATACATAAATACATTTTAAAAAGGTAGTTTGTGGTGATTTTGTGTTCCCCAAAATACTGTGCACCCCAATAAACTTATTATCTGGGGTCAGAGAACAGAACAGCCACTAGATATAGAGGCTAGAAAATAGTGGCACACGCACCTTTAATCCTAGCATTCCCTAGGCAGAGATCCATCTGGATCTCTGTGAGTTCAAGGCCACACTGGAAACAGCCAGGCATTGTGACTCACGCCTTTAATCCCAGGAAGTAACGGCAGGAAGCAGAAAGGTGTACAAGGTGTGAGGACCAGGAACTATAGCCTGGTTAAGCTTTTAGGCTTTTGAGCAG